ATTCATGTTTGGGAAAACTAGTACTTTGCCATACTCCAAGGAAGAAAGCATTTTATTTAGTAATAGTTCAAATAACGCTGTAAAAATGTCTCTGTGTGCATTTGAAACTGGCCCTGGTGGCCTGATTCAGTATTTTGCCCATTTTCTTGGCTTTTCGAGCTTCACACACACAAAAAGAAATTGTACAAAACACTTAACACTGTTTTTTTCAGGGCTGGTAATGGGGCTTTCACTGTACAAAGGCAGGAGCAAATTATTTGGAAAGGTGAGGTTCTCAGAAAAACTACAAAACTCTGCTCATACATTTTGGACTCAGCTCTCTCTGCTTTTGCTGTATATTTTCGTTCGAGTGCCTCGAATCTCTGAGGATTTATGCTTACCGTGTTAAATACAGAATAAGATAATCTGGACGGATCCACAAACACAAATTTCACGTAGAACAACACTTTTAAAAGGAAAAATGCAAATGATTCACATAATAAAGATTTTACAGAGTTACCTTTTGCAAAAAGGCGGTTTTCACCGGCAACATTACCATCTGTGGAGTGAAAACGTCTGGCTACTGAATTGGTGTGTGTGTGTGTGTGTGTGTGTGTGTGTGTGTGTGTGTGTGTGTGTGTACGCGCGTGCATTTGCACAGAGGAGAGGTGGCAGCGAGCGGGTAGAAGGTCAAAGGGTAAATTCCAATTGCTGTGACATATTTTTATGAGCTGAATCATAGCCAGCTTTTAGCCTTGAACAGGGAACAAGATCTTAGGAAGGGAAGGAACGTGAACAGGCTGGTTAGGAAAATCAAGAAACGCTCTCCCAAATTAGCAGCTAATTGCTCCCCAACCCTGCCATATTCATTCATTTGAGCTTTATTTTATTGTGCTGTACTTGAAAAGATCCGTTTTCTAATAAAGGAATCATAGCAAAATCTCAGTTGCAAAATACGAAGTTGTCTTCGGGATTTTTACCTCCCTTTTACAAAGCTTTTGGTGTTTTTTCCTGGGGGTGGGGGGGGGGGGGGAAGCATCCTTGAAAATCTGAAAGGAGGAGGAGACTACGTGGGAGTTAGTTCCCACAGCAAGGCTGACAAAGCGCTGCAGCCGCTGGAGAGGGGGAAACGTTGAGCTGCTGGAGGAGAGACAGGAGGGCCGCTAGCCTCGCTTTGTTATCAGCCCAGACTACTGTACCCCAGCTTCCTCTCCTGCAGGCTCTCCCTACAACGTGGGGGACGATTTTCTGCTTTGTAGTAGACGTGCTACCAGGCAAAGAGAAAAAGAAAAAGAGGGAAACGAGAGAGAGAGAGAGAGCAGAGAAGAGAGAGAGGAGAGAGGGACAGAGGAGAGAGAGAGAGAGAGAGAGAGAGAGAGAGAGAGAGAGAGAGAGAGAGAGAGAGAGAGAGGAGAGAGAGAGAGAGAGAGAGAGAGAGAGAGGGAGAGAGAGAGAGAGAGAGAGAGAGATGGATGTCAGGGGCCGCAGTCCAGGCAGAGCAGCTGCCAGGCCCGCCCAGCATCCAGCCTCTGTGGTCTCCAACGCGGCTGCTGCGGCGACCGCACTAGCAGCAGCTGCAGGGAGGCGCTGCTGGTCCCCAGCCGGCGCACGCTGGGGTCAGAATGGGGAGTCCCTCCAGCTCTCATCTTCTGAGCAAGCAAATTCTTCACATTCCTGCACTGGGGCCCTATGGGCGTCAGCTGACCCGCAGCTAGCTCCCGGGTCCCAAACCTGCCACCTCCGGGGAAACCCTAATCGCTCGGGATGTGTTCTAGAAGGTGTCCCAGAGCTGTCTCCTCCAGGCCTCTCCTCCCGCATGTCTGCCTGAGGGTCCTGCACACCCAGGCAGCCCTGGCAGGGTGCAGAGCCTGAACAGGACCCGTCATTTTCAAAGTTGATGGGACAAACGCGGGCTTAACTTGAGATGGGGACCAGTCCTGAGGCTTAAAGGAAGATGAAGAAATTAGGCAATTTCACTATTAGCAGAGGCAGCGTTATGACCCTTTTTGTTGTAAAAGGGACATAAATGTAGTTGCAGATTGAATGAAGTTATAGGCCATAAAAGGGCAAGAGAGAGAAGGGAAGAGATAATAGGCGCTGTCCATCTGCGCCTCTTACCCTCCCCGTGTCAGACCTCCTCAGCAGTGCTGGTGGCGAACAGTCTGCCGACAATAACGAATGGGGGAAGGCGGAAGGATAAATGCCACGGAGCGCGGCCGTGCATTTTTAGAGTGGCGACAATTGCTGTTTATTTGCTTTTCGTTTATGAAAATGACAAAGGGCAAGGTTATATGTGAGACACATCTCCACACTGTGGTTTACTCGAGGTTTTGGGGAATCAAGGTGACTGGAAGCAGCCAACTTTCATTTCCTTGGATATGGAAAATATTTATAATATTCTTTCTAAAGTACAAATTTTTCCTTGTTAAATACTTTGGCAGAAACAAATTCAACAACTTTGGGACATTTAATCAGCCTGTTTCCCTTTACCAATCCTATGTTAAGACCATAAATTCTGTTCAACGTTTGTGATAATTCCTGTTTATGAAGTTCAGGTCTGCTGTGCAATTATAGATTTAAAAAAATATATATGTTTGGACATTTCAGTTCTTAAAATTTTAGATACTGTTTATTTGCTGGAATATTAAGTAGATGTACTCTTGTGTTTCATTTCTTGGTCTAAGGTTAAGTCTGATAAGGTCAAATCTGGGGAATTCCCCACAGCCTGACCTCTACTACACTCACAGCCAGAAAAGGGGAGCGATTTGGTTTAGACTGAACGAATGAGCTAATTGTCAGTTTGTTTTATGTATATGATAGCTGTTTTCAACTAAATGGGGAAATGCAACGTTTTTAGGGTGAAAGATGTTGTGTGATAATTCCAAAGTGATAATTAATAACAAAAGTAATAGCTTACTTTGAAATATTAATATGGATCATGTTTTATTTTTTGGTTACTCAAAATGGAGTAGAATATGTACAAATAATAACACATTCATCATAAGTCACAGTGATTAAGGTATACTAGAAAAACAGCCATATGGCATTTATGTTTAAATTATTTTTCCCAAATATCAGCAACATGTTGAAGCATTTCATAGACCCTGAAGATTTTTTTTCTTAAAGGATAGAGAATTGAGAGTATCAGAACATTTAATATCATGTATTAGTGGGAGATTAAAGGAAATTTTATGAACTATATGAGATTAAATGAAAGCCTATATCTTATTAAGTATATTATTTTTGCAATTTTCAAAAATGAAAAAGGATAAATGTTGATATTTATGTTGTGATGTGGACAAATAGGATTCTTATGTTTCTGATTTCATTCAGATATGTTATGTTCCATGTTTTTAAATTTTTGAGATTTTTTGAGGTTTCAATTAATTTACATATGGAGTTTTGTTCCTTATTCTTTCTTTCCATTAGGAAAAAAAATCAAAGAATTATTTATTCACGGACTAATTACAATTTGTAATATCACTATTCTTCACTAGATACACATTTGACATCATTGTATTTGTATAAAATAATATGAAATAAGAAACTGATTTCACATAATAAGAAACATACTTTTTAACTACACAGTTTAAAAAATACACATTATTTAAAATGTAAGATGAAATTGTATTTCTTTAGAGTCAAACAAAAGCTCTCTAAATGGAGATGCAGGGATTTCTTGAGCTTTGTCTAAATTTAAAGTGCCCTCTACTGTCCAAAGACTGTACTACTTGAAGAGAAAACGACAAGCCTGAAATTGCAACCTAGATAGGTAGAGACAGAAGAAAGAGAAGACTGTAGACAATATCATTGCTCTTGGCCTGGAGCCACTCAGTGTGCATGGCTCCGTTGGTAGAGAGGTTTGCTCCATTCCCAAGTAAGAATTTCCATTAAAATTATTTGTAACTTTACCATGCTTGTGGTCTCTGTTTCCCCTTAGTTTTGCCTTTAAAACTGAAATTCTACTGTGGTTTCACTGCAAGAGTTACAGTGGGTAGACAAGGAATAGATAGTCTGTCAGTCTAAACATCAAAACTTACCACTTTCATATATCGATTCTTAAGGAAGATTATCCAGGATGCTTTTTTCTATATACTTCTATATCAGGATACCTTCTTCTTTTTCTTCATCGTTATCTTCCTCTTCTTAGTCATCATTGTTAGAGTTATATCTATTTCAATTTTTTAAAAAAAAAGATGGATGTGGTAGTACAAAGCTTAATAATCGGTTAATTCTTTAGGGAGATTTTTTTTTTAAGAACCTACCAAAAGAGAGCACCTATTTTGTTGATCTCTCTTTTAAAAGCATTTAAGCATCCTCCTAAGCATGATGTGTGCAAGTTTAGTAAGCTTCTTACAATCTTCCATTTCAAGGAAGTCACCTATTTAAATTTGTTATAAAAATTCGGGTGGAATAGATTATAGAATAAAAAGTTAAATGCTATCATCTGAAATGAATTGTATTTTGCATTGTACTACTAAGCAATGATACTTGAGATTTGTTCAGAGTACAGGTGGCAATTTTAAATTGTCTTGTGTTAAAAGCATTTTATAACATTGCAATATAATATATTTTTTAAAAAGGTTTTGATTGGATGGGTAATACCTAGTGAAATCAGTAATTTGCTGTAAATTTAGAGATGTGGTGCAATTGAGGCAGAGAAAGCTTAATTTGTCAAGTCCACAACATAGGCAATGAGTCTAAATTCAATGGTTTATGAAGTATTTGGTCAACATTATAAACAAAAAAAAAAAAAAAAAAAAAGAAAGGTAATTTGGGAGGAAACTTTATTAAGTGTCCAGTACATTGTCAGTTTAATCAATCCCTAGGAACTTAACATAGTTGCTGATGATCAGGAAGGATACAGCAAGATGACAGCTAGCTAACCATAGCCTCTAACCAACTGGACCCAAGCTGACTTTTCCTTTCCAACGCCGCCCTTCCCTGTCTTTGTTTAGTTCCTCTTACTGACTTCTAACCTGACTACTGTAGAGATGGCTGTCTTTGTTTTCTTCTCTAAGGAAAGGGCACTTTCAACTAGAATTCCATAGTGTGCTTTCCTGCTAAGTGGTGACCCTGTTAGGAAGATTCCAATGACCAAACAACGACAGAAAACTGAAGGAAAGAAAGAAGCAGATCCTATCTCAAAGCAGAACTTCTCCAGCAGTGTAATTGAAGGCCAGGGTGGAGGAGTCACCTACCAGGTAAAACAACATTCCAATATTTAAACATTGGCATTGCTGGCACCAAGCAAGCTGGTCTTTTCAGTTTTCAGAAAAATCCAGCATATTCAACATGTCTAAGTATTTCGTCTACTTAGGAGAAATTTGTTGAACCAAGTGTACAATATGATCTAGCCTAATTTATTAGAATTACCATTTCTCTTGCTTAGTATTCAGTTACTTTCTACTTGTTGGGAAGGAAATACACTGTAACATTGTTTCTAGATCCCATTAACACCCTCCATTTTAAAAATCGAATGCTCTGAAGCACTATGTGGTTCCCTACATTCTCTATGTGTTATATATCCTTCCCCTTCTACAATCAAGTCTTTTACACTTTCAATTAAAGATAGTCTAATTACTAATTAAACTGTTACAGACTCTTATTCTTGGACACACTCTTTCTCGTTATGAGTGTATTTAGCAAAACTTGAAATCAAAGAACTTAACTTTCTCTAACCAGTGAGGTGCGAAGGGTACCTTGGAGCCTTTTCTTCTAGGATTATGCATTTTGCGTTAGAATGATGTTACAGAGATAAAACTAACCCAATGTGTTTCTCGAAGAGACTGGTCTTTTCTCTCTCTCTCTCTCTCTCTCTCTCTCTCTCTCTCTCTCTCTCTCTCTCTCTCTCTCTCAGATTATGGGAGCTGCTTATTTATTTTTATTTTTTATTTTTTATTGAAAAGAGATTATTCTCTCATACCATACATTCCGACCTACCACACTCTTGCCTGATACCTGTTCCCTCTCCTCTTCTCCAGATCCACTCCTCCTCTGTCTCCCATCAGAAAGGAGCAGAACTCCAAGAGACAACAAGCAAACACAGGAAACAAAATACAATAAGACAAGGCAAAAGCCCTCTCACAGAAGCTGCACAAGGCAACCTAATAAGAAGGATCCAAAGAGCAGGCCAAAGAGTCAGCGACAGACTTTTTCCACTGTTAGGAGTCCCACAAAAATACCAAGCTAACAGCCGCTACATAGAAGCAGAGGATCTAGTACAGACTCATGCAGGCCACATGCTTGCTGCTTCAGTCTCTGTGAGTTCCTTTGCACCCGGCTTAGTTGACTCAGCAGGCAGTATTCTCCCAGTGTCCTTGATCCCCTCTGACTCCTATGGTCTTTCCTTTTTCTCTTCCAGGGGATTCCTCAAGCTCCAAAGGGAGGGACCGGAAGGAAACCTCTGATTTAGACTCTCTCTGCCTAATGTTTGGCTGTGAGTCTCCACACCCCGTTTTCTGCTGGAGGAAACCTCTCTGATGACAACTGGAAACAGAACAGTTTTTGCAGATGGACTGGGATGCACATGGAAAGAGTAGGAGAGATCAGCTGGGGGACACGGAGGGAGAAAGTGCAGAGAGAGACAGCTGGGATTGGGGAGCACTAAGGGGACAGTGTGGAAACCGAGTGCAATGGAAACTTTCTGGGAGCTGTTTATTTTTTTTAAAACTGCTCATCTCAATTTTCTGAAAGCTTTTGTGGGTTGCAAAGTATACTTCCAATAGATTTTATTTTTGCTTAAGCTAGCCAGTAAGCTTCTTTTGTTTGCAACCAAATAAACCTAATTGCCACGATGCATGCCTTCCTCGGAGAGCAACTTACAGATTCTCAGATGCAATGTTTATGAGGTTCATCCCCTCTTTTTTCATAGTATGGAAGCACACGCATGTGTGATTCTTGGCCCAAGCCAACATCTTTCTTGAACAGGAAACAAGTACACAATCCAAGGACTCTTGATGGTCAATACTTTATACCAAAGCATTGATCAATTATCTTTACTCCCATGAATCACTGAGCTTTGTGTCTAGATTTGTTGACATAACTCTTACCTTCTTCATCCTCATAATCAAAAACTAAGAATATAAATTGTAAAATAAAAATAATGTGTAAAACACAGATCAAGTAATTTCAGAAAAATGAACTATTATTAAGAAAAAATATTTGTTGCATACATAGGTGCTAAATAATATAAAGCTATATATAAGATGAAGTGAAATTTGGTGTTTTATAGCACAGCATACTTGGATTTGATGAATTTATGCATATTCATAAGTAATGATTGTTTACAACTTAAAAACATAGATTGGAATCCTTACCTTTTGCTTATGATGCCTGTAGCAAAGAGAAGAAAAATATGAATTCTAGAAAATTGCCTTTCCTTTAAAAACAACAGTAGCAAAGCATGACACAAACATTTAATAAAGGGATGGTTGTAGACTTTCTTCATTCCTGAGAACCAACAAAAATATCTCAAGGGACAGATCATTAAATGCTCCTCGGCGTTACCGCGGGCAGCATCTCTGGAGGCATCTCTGAAGGTGGGAGGCACTTATTAGAAGGATGTTTAGAAAGCTCTGGCTGTTGTCTCAAAAATCATTCCTGCAGAACATAACAGGATAGTTACCAAGCATTTCTGAAAGCTGTGTATCACTGAAAAGATTCCATTCATTAGAAATACAGTAAGTTATAAATGGTAAAGGCAGAAAAGGGGTAAGTTGTGGGAATAAAGTATAAATTCAACATGGGAAGCATAATGTAACCATCAGAAATCATTTGGTATATATTACCTTATTATTTTGTATGTGTTCTGAGATCTGGCAATATACCACAGTATTAGTTCATGCTTCAATTTATACGGAAAAAAAAAAGAGAGAAAAAAAGAACAAGGGAAGAAAAAAGATGGAATAAAAATGTCCATAGCATGCTGTTTTCTTATTCTCATTTTTCATTTTGCATTATTAGTTAAACCTTCTGACATTCATAACATAAACCAAGTTTAGAATCCTTCATTAGCTATAATTAATTCCCATTACTTTTTTTTTTCTTCCAGGAAGGATTATTACTAAAACCATGATTTTTCTCCCAAACCTTAATTTTCCCTTGACCCAGCAATTTACATTTATTTCAATGATTCCAGATAACAAGCATGGTGCAGTTCATGTGCATCGATCCAGATTTAGGAAGTATTTTCATCTTCAGTTATATTTGCTTCTCTTAGGGGTCCTATTTTTTTAATGAATAGAACTTTCTTCTCATGGAGATTTGTCTGATGTATTAAACAGCATGATTTAAGGATTAGTTCAAGATCACACATATATTAGAAAAGAAATTTAAAGTATACATCTCAAGACTCATAGTCTGTCGCTTATTACTTCATTCAGTCCATTTACTTTTCAAGGTATGCAAACACATATTTATTGAATCCAGACATCCCTTCTAGACCCTGGTCAGGACTGCTTTCTGCCCAAGGTAAGTCAGCATGGCTTATCAAGATGGCTTGTCCTCTAGACTACTGTGCTGATATCAATTGAGGCTGCAACCTCAGATGACCATTTACTGAAGACAGGCAGACTCTGACTTATGAAGTATCAACTTAAACATTTTCCACTTTATGATAATAGACAAAGAATGTGCATTCAGTAGATGCTATACTTTGAATTTTGATCTCTTCTTCAAGTTTATGACATGTGGGTTTAGTGATATACTATGATGGTACCAGGAAGCAATTACGAGAGCAAACAACTAATATTACAGAGTTAGCTCAGTTGCTAAACTATCATGTTTGTTAGCTTAGGTATATTGCATGCTTGGGAGTCAATCCTATGAGAAGTTGAAAGGCTTCTAAGCCTGTTTGTAACTAATTTTCATGGAAGACATTTTTAGTTTAAATTTTATTCTGCATATGATACTGATATACCTTGAAGTTGAGGATGAACATGACATGTAACCTCCAGGCTTAATTCTAGGCTAGCCATTCTTTCCCATCCAGAAACCCACATGTATGACTACCAGCTCAACTTTGTTGAGAAAGAACATTCTCAAGCTAGAGCCTAATCCCACAGACACTTCTTTAGCTACTTGGAGGTTGTTGTAATGCAACAGATTTCACACCTTTGCTGTGAACTAATCTTCATCATCAATTTATACCTTATTTTTTAGGGGTTCTTATGATGTTTGCTGTCATTGTGAATTTTAATTAACTACTCACTTTCTCACATCTTAATATCAGTAACCACTCAGCAAGTTGGCTGTCTCCCCATCCCCGCCCCCCCCCCCCCCCCCCCGTTGGTTTTAACTTCTAACTCAGAGGGACTCAGAGAGCCTAAATCACAGAATTTATAATTTTAGTCATGTGCTGCTGTATCTTTGCCTTTGCTTTAAATTTTCTGCATTATGAAAGTATCCAAACTTCAGTCTCTGACTTAATCCCCTCCCCAGCTTTAATTCATTCAGCAAGTTTTCTAAATGATTTCTCCCTTCAACAGCTAATGGGTAGCCCATATTTGAACGTCTACCTCTAAGTCTACAGTAGTCCCAGAATATTGCAAATATTCTTATAGTGATCTTATAATCTGCAGTATGGTCTACTATTAAAACTTCTCAGCTCAAGCTTCAACATGTATCCAAAGTGAAGAATGCCAAAGCTACGAGCTTCATTCACACCACCATCACTGCTTTCCCAACCTCTATGATGCTGGCAGTAGGGGTTTCTGATCTATTTTACAAGAAGAAAGCAAATGCATGTATTTAAAATTTAAAATGTAAATTAAATCATGGTCTTTCTGTATATTAGATTATTAATCTATTTCTATCCTGGGGGAATATCTAAACATCTTATAATGAACATGTTGATTGAACAAATAATCTAAATCAAAGTGAAAAACAATTGATTACTTCTTTTAATTTATTTCTGACACTTTTTTCCATTTTGTTTTCTTTCTTTTCTAAACATAATTTTTGAGACAGATCTCACTATGTAGCCCAGGGTAGCTAGCAATCACTATGTAGCTCAGGCTGGGATACTTATTATTTTTGCATGGAATCTTTATCATTCTTTTAAAAAAAACATTCAAATTAGATTCAGTGTTCTAGTTTTTACCCCTTCTATGTATGGCTGTACCTTTACCAAGGTATTATCATGATCATTCAGTTTCTGTTCTTATATCACTGGTTTAGAAGCACATAACCTGACTACTGTATATGTTTTATCATCCAGCTATTTGCCTTTTCCTTCTTATTTCAGTCCTGATGTTTGAGTTTTTCTGTTACTGTTGCCCAATATCCCAGGAGATTATCACACTACAAGCCTGGAGAAATGATTAAAATTCAAAATGTAAACTATAGATCTTAACAAATATGTACTGCTTATATACCATTCTAAAGTTTGAAAATAATACATTAAACCACAATATTTTGGGAACCATTGATCTATCTATCTATCTATCTATCTATCTATCTATCTATCTATCATCTATCTACCATCTGTCTATCACCATCTATCTAATACATACATAATACATGCATGTACATGTATGTGTATATACAGATAAAAGAATGCCTGAGCCAATTGCTTACAAGTAAGTGTATGTAAGTCCTATTAGTCCTGAGAGGAATTTTATAGGATATACGTTCTTCCCATTTTTTACATGTTTATTAGAAGTTGTAGTGAAAATGTTTTCACTTTTTCTTTAGGAATTCACAGCAACTTTGTAGGAGATATTTTTCTCCCCAGTGAGAATCAAAGAGGACTGCCCAGATATATAAAGAAAAGGGTGGACTCAGAGTCATATATAAGAATAAGTACTTCGAGTTTTGGATACACTGTTATGTTCGAGGTAAGTATTTACAGACCTCAACAAATATAGAGGGTATTCTACTAAAGAGAGGAAATGGAAAAAGACTACACTTAGGAACAAATGGACATAGTGGAAGTAGAAAAGACATCACTGTATACATACTGCAAACATTGAGAACCACACTGTCCGTATCAAACTAAGATTGTTCTGCAAGAAATGTGAGCAGGCAGATTGGGAAGGTTGAAATATTCTCCATGAGGGGAGTCCTAGTGAATTTTGAGGCGATATTCTTATAGTAATTGGGAATATCTCCTTTCTCTGTAATAGAATAATGCAGAAACTATGTATTTTAAAATATTAAAGTGGAGGATTCATGACATTTGTATTTTTCATTCACTCTTTGTTGTCCATTTCTAAAACTGAAGCATTTTCCTTGGAGATTAATAAAAGAGAAATTTCATTGGCTGTGCTGGTAGCAATACTGTTGGTGAAAATTTTGAGAAAATATATCACATACATAATGAAATACATTTTTTTCATATAAAACACTGTCATAACTCTGTTAGATGCAGTATCAATAGCTTAGTTGATCATCTTGGCAGTTGTCTCACCAGAATTCCTTAGTTATACCCTTCATCATCCAGTATAGATAAATTAATGTCCTGACCTTTTAGACCATTTCCTGGTTACCCTATTGTCTTTAATATGGTACATGCTTTATATCTTTTAATTTTTAAATGACTAGTTTACAGACAGATATATTTGTATAAAGACTCCCTATATTTATCTCTGGGAAGGACATGGGCAAAAGGATAAAACAAACCAGAGCCACCCTTTGCTAAAGTTGCATAATGATCTACAAAACTAGAAGCAATAGTTTGGAGCTTATTTATAAGAAAATGAAGTAAAGAGCAGGTCAAGGTCAAGAGGTTGCCACACAATAACTGTTTTCTATGAGGCCATTGGAGGTGGGATCTCTGGTACATTTCTAAGGGGCTATTCATTTGAAAACTTGGTAAATGTTTTTATTTTAGAATCCTGTTTCACAAAATCAGACAACATTATGTTAATCCATTGGCACTTGCCAACATCATTCTCCAACAAACAGATGCAGTCAAAAAGCAAATCTTGACACATCTTTTCTTCTCTTTTTTCTTTTTTTTGGTTTTTTCGAGACAGGGTTTCTCTGTGTAGCTTTGCGCCTTTTCCTGGAACTCACTTGGTAGCCCAGGCTGGCCTCGAACTCACAGAGATCTGCCTGGCTCTGCCTCCCGAGTGCTGGGATTAAGGGCGTGCGCCACCACTGCCCGGCTGATACATCTTTTCTTGAGTAAAGAACTTGGGCCCAGAGATATGGCTCAGCATTTGAGACTTCTGGCTGCTCTGCCAAAGGACCTGGGTTGGCGTCTCAACAGAAGCATGGAGGCTCACAACTCTCTTTAACTCCAGATCCAGAGCATCTAATGTCATCTTCCGATCTCCACAAGTACTATATGCACATGATGCACAGACATACAGGCAGGAAAAACATCCACACACATAAATAAAAATAAAATAGAAAAAAATCTACATTTGTTAACTGGCATATATTCTCACAAGCAAGGAGAAAAGGAAAAGAATATTAAGAAAATGAAAGAGGTGACAGGGCTCAATTTAGCAGTTTGATTTTACAAAGAATTTTTCCAGTCTCTGGAATGGAACCCTGGAGCTCAGGAGCATGACAAGAAACTGTTCCACAACTTAGCTATGTCCCTAGACTTCTACAAAGAAGATAAGAAATAGTTTCTTCTAGGCACAATTTTGTCTGATTATATCAGTTCTTAAACTTAATTCAACAGTTTTTGGAAAGCAGCTCTTGTTACTTTACTAATTTTGGTAGTTATAAAGGAAGAAAGGACTGCCAAGCCAGCGTCTGACTTGCATGAGACTAATCTGATCTAATAATTTTAAAGCAAGTGTGTGCATATTAACTGACCCAAAGCTATAGAAATAGACTATGATTTCTCTTCTAATTTCTAAATAAGTGGTCTAAATGTGTATGTAAATTGCATTGCAGAAACTAAATACATCCTTTGAGCAAAGTTATTAGGTAGGTTTATGCAGGTAAAATAGGAGGGGCGTGAGAGTAGAATGAGGTGATTGGGGGAGGAGGGGGAAGAGGGAACACATCGAAGCTGAGTGGGAGATAGGCTCTTTTTAAGTATTAGCTCAAGTGACTGTAGCTTTAAGTCTGTAATCCATAGGGCAGGAGACTCAATTCAGAGCTAATATTGCAGTCTTGAATTCCCAGTTCCCCAGGGCACCAGGCTGGAGAAGCAGAGTTTCTATGTTGTAATCCTGAGAAAAATTCTATCTTTCTTGAGAGACATAAGGTTTTGTTCTCAACGTTGTCAGCTGATTGGATGAGGTCTATCCACACTGTGGAGATAATACACCTCATTCAAAGTTTATTTATTTAAACATAAGTCAGTTTCACAGTAAAATCTATACCAATGTTTGACTAGACAGTGAGGCACCCCAGCCTGGTTCCATTACACCTAAAATTCACTTTTGCAGCATGTGACATTACATACAGGAAACAAACTGCTATTGGGTGTTGAGATACAATCACATGTGTACAGATGAACAGACAGACACATTGATCAACTACTGGAAGCAACCACGGGAAAAACATAACTGTTGGGACAGTCTTGTTGCTTTGTCACCCAACAATGATTCATTCCAATATGTCTTCTGAGAGGTGAAATTGTTATAATATCAGGTGGAACACAATCTATACAATATTTTTATTTTTGCTCTTACACAATGTAATCCTGGCCTAATATTATTCCCCTTTCCATGAAAATAAGTAAGTAGATTATTTCACTTGGTAATTATCTCAATTATTTGTGTCTTGAAGAAGGAGAAAAATACCATATTGACTCTTCTTACCACCCACTGCATCAGGACCTCTGGGGATTCGATTTTCTGTACTGGATTTTGTTCCTATCCATACATGTGCATAGATGATCTCACCTATATTTCCATTACTTTTCAACTTTCTATATAGTTTAAATAAAATTATTAGGTGCAATTAATAACTTCTTGGTAATTAAAATTAAGGAATAACCAACTTTGACTGCAAAACAGAAGAAAAACAAAGATGCATTTGGCTCTGAATTTCAGTTAAATTCATTGCTTATTATTCCCTTGAGGCTGACTTCAAATAGTCTAGAAGGAGTGGGCTTCTCATACGAAGTTGTAATCAGAATATCATAACTTTAAAATCTCAAATAGGCATGCTCGGCTCAATGAGTACATCTTACAAGAATCAGTGGACTCATCTGCTTTTCCCTTAAGTCTGACCAGAAAGATTTTCACAAGGAAAAAAGCCAGAAAGGGAACAAAAGTGGAATTATCCAATTTAGGGAACTCTGGACAGAACAATTTAATTTTAAAGTAAAATTTGCTAATAGGGAATAAAATTTAATATTATATAATAAGATACTCATCCTTGAAGGAAACATTCAATTTGTGATAATACTAGGGAAAATGTTCAACTGGGAAGAATGTCAAAGGAGAAATTTTTGGTAATGGGATGACCTAGAAAGAAGCCCAATAAACATGTTATGAAAGTAATATTACTGACAGGGGAGGAAGGCAGACAAGATGCATTCTGCTTAAGCAACAAGCCTGCCAGTCAGCTTTGCTCACTGAATCTCAATAGTAAAATTGTTTTGGTGAGGACTGAGGAAGCAAAATTTGCTGCCCCCACCCCCACCGTCAAAGACCACAGCAGGAATGCTACTTTGCAACATCTTTTAAAAACTCAGCAAAATAAAATTAATCAGATTATTTACCTGTACACTGAGAGTATGCAAGGATTAATGAGTTCATTATTGTGAAGAATTAAAGCACATTGGGATATCTGAGTGGAAAATGAAAATAATTATTTATGGCTTTGCTAGAATGTCTCAGTAGTTATAATTATGTTGGAGTATCAGACCTTGATTCTAGTTTAGTTATATGTTTTTCTATTAAAAATTAAATGTGTCATAATTTGTCACTAGAAAAATTATTTGACATAACAAAATTGCAGCTAGGTAAAGCCTGCTAAAAATGTGATACATTAATAAATGATCATTTTCTACCACTAATTTCTTTTTTCTATGATTTTTTTAGATGTTTGGATTAATACTGTATAGGCTAGTGTATGTTTCTTTAAATGGAAAATATTTGTGTGTTGTTGACTATTTTCTCTTTTAAATATGCTTGAAAATACTTTGAAACAATTTAATGAAAAAAATCAGTGAGAATCTATTAAAATTACTAATTGATAAAAATGCAGTGTGCCTACTGTTTGCTGAGTCAAATGTAATAGAAAAAGATTTGGTAAACGTTAGCAGATAACAAACAGGCTAGGACATGCTCAGAATTCTAGAATTGAAAACGCCTTAGAAAGGTCATAAAAGTTACCACATCCCTGGCAGGACCAAACTAAAAGCTAATCAGCTCAGAAAAACCGAGCGTAATGTTGGAGGCAGACGACAACAAAGCTAACTTCCTCTTGCATGAGGGGTACATCCGGGGGTCTCGGATTCCTGCTTGTTGTATTGTATTCTGTGCTTCTTCCACTCTGCCTTGGGCTTCACCATCTCTTAGGAGATTCTCCCTCCAGGTGACAGATGACCTAACTACGTTGATCTGTAGAAGGCAAACTGTTGGTGAAATAAAATCAGGGTTCTGTATGTGAGGAACAGCCTCCATCTCACTTGTTTACACCTATTCTTTGATACCTATGTGTGGCCTGCTTCTTAAAAAATAAAAAAAAAACAAAACAGATTTTGAAATCATTTGGTATTATTTTTTTTTAAAGGGGCGTGAAGGACACCCAACATTAGCAATGGTTGCTGACGAAGCACGACTGATCAACCTCTCTCTCTCTGTCTTTCTTGACCTCCCTGTTTTTTCTCCTGTTCACCATATTTTCTCCTCTTTTCTTGTTTTGTTTTCTCTTTCATTTTTTCTTCATCGAAGCTCACCTTATTATTGGTGAGCCTTCCGTTAGCCTCAGAGAGCACAGATGTCACACAATCTCACTTTGCAGGACCGGTGGCATTGACAAGTTAAGAGAACTTGTTAAACATGAAACATTTGGGATAACATTTATTTTTGTATCTGGACACATCTTAAACAGACCCTCTAGCCACACCATCCTCCTCCTTAGCCAGCAATGTCTCATTCTCTACATAGCAGGTGAAACAGAGTCTACTGGCAACTCAACGCAGAATACCAAAACAGCTTCCTTGACCCCTTTCCTTTTCATTAGCCATATTCAATGTCATTCTTTTTTTTTGAAAGTATCTCTTCAATCCTGCCTCAACACATCTCTGAAACTACCACTTTTATTTTAATTTTTTTATTTATTTAATATTTTTATTTTATAAT